ATACATATATCTATTCAGGTGAAATTCATATTTGTACTACTGAAATACATACATTTACGAATTCGCTACTGGACTCTACTCGCATTATTAGATTTATCTTCGTTGCAAAAAAAGAGTACTACAAGAATATAATTACTATTATTGTGACCGCTGTGACTTCTTCCTCTTGTGCCAAACCTCAGAAAGGTGGTTATTTTTGACGGCTCTTAGAGCTGTTTAGTTGAGTAACCCTTTCCCGTTTCGTTACGGGGCTGTCAGTGCCGGTTACCACCAGTAATTTTTTGTTTGATACGGTCTAATGTATACACAGCCAACCATCGAATGCCAACTGCAGATATTGAAATTGTGAATGGACTGATTTAGGACTGAATAATCGACAATAATGGCTTTGCGGCTCCCGCCGTTTTAATTTTAAAAGTCTACCGATTCCTATGGCTTGTAAACACGCCAAATATTGAGCTTTTGCTGATTAATCGGCGTCCTAAATCAGTTATAGAATCGAACATGTATAAACATGGCATTTTTCATAAAATTTGATAAGCGAAATTTCCACTAGGCATTGAAATAGCCAAAAATGTGGCGTTTTACGTTAAATTACCGGGAACTACTTACCTTAGGAAAATACTTTGCATTGAATATTAGGTTTTTTATGAATGTTTTATAAAAATTCTTTTATTGTGATGTAATTATAAATAGTTCTTAAACACTATGTTGTAAGCTTGAGAGAAATATAATACTCATGCCCCTAGTATACGAATATTTAAGTAAAAAATGATATTTTGGTTGTATTTAATTATTTGGAGAACGTAAAATTTTTAACAAATAAGAGTATGAAAAAATATTGTTAACACAGGATACAAAGCATCAGTATCTTTATTTCTAAACCGCACTAGAAGAAAAGTTCTGACTTACGCAACGTAGTTTAAAACCAACATGTAACAGTGGTTGCGCACATTTGGTATTACAATCTACTGAGGTTTAGAAATGAAAGAGACTGATGCTTTGTGATTTAACGTTTTGTAGTGCACCCTCAATAACACGGGAGAAAATTGTAAAAAATGCACAAAATTAAAATTTTTCTTTAATATTCTGCTATAATTTAATCGTTAGAAACTACATGTCACGTCATACTAGTCAAGAAAATGTGAACAAATATTGTAAAAATTTTCCCATTAGTTTAAAGCTTAAATTAAGTCCAACATTTTTAGAGTATTATTTCTTAAATACAATTACAAGTTTAACGACTAAAAATGAGAACTGTTCAAACTGTTTGAAAAGCTGCACATTTTATGTAACACATTTATATGAACTGTTGTTAAAAATCAATCGAAAAAATAAAATTTGAAACGCTCCTAAAATTTAACTAATATGTTTCACTTCAACCTGCAGTAGCAAAACGGATGCGGTAAGTAATAGCAAACAATGTACAAGTTTACATGGTACTAGCAAAAATTCTTTTTTTATACAGGGTACTCGCCCAGGAGATAATTTCAGGAGTAAGAAGCCCTTCCGAAAGGCTTTCCTGAGAGTCAAGAGGCCTTACAATCTACATT